TGGGAGGCTGAAAGTGCGCATGACATGCTGCGTAGCTCCCTTCCCATTGTTCATCCTTTCGTCCGTCCTTCCCACCTTCCAGCTGTCCGTTTCGTCGAGAGGTCTGCACTGCACAGGCAATGGCGATACTTAGAGTAACAGTAGTTGAACTATGTAAGGGAGACATCAACGGAAGCGTGGCAAAGGCGATGTGGTACGGAAGCCAGCTCCATGTGTTCATCCACCCTTTCAGTACAGTTTCACTCTTTTATTTACTCACTCATCTCTCCTTCCAGTAACAGCCTCAGAAATTGTGCTCATCATCAGTTCTTACCTCACCGACCATATTTCCCGGGGCTTCACGTTGAAGCCCCGGCTTCCGGGACCCAAGTTCCGGTTGTGTCGTCTGTCGGGGAAACCGCCCTCCAACCGAGCCTTTTTTGGCTCCCATTGCAGTTCCCACCTCCCCTCCTCCCCCGGCCGTTAAATTTGGATTTACTCCCCCCTCCTCCTGTTGCTGATGGTCACCTTTTAGCTGTTGATCCACGTTCCGTGTCTGCAAGTCGTCAGGAAGGTGGTGTAAAATTACTGGACCTGGAAGCTGGATTGTGTGACGTCGAATATTCTTCGAGGTGGAGTCGGGTTCCATGTCCGAGATCTCCTCCAAAAGTTGAGTCTCGTCAGTCTGAAGTGCAGAGGAGAAAAAGTATGCGTGCATGGGTCCATTTGTGCGGTTATAGCAGATTACGACTGGAAGATTTGTAGTTGGATGAGGACGCGAGGAAGAGACGAATGGACAGAACGAGACATAAACGGATGAATCGGCGGAGCGAATAGATATGCGCATGCTCTCGGGATTGGTGGGCGAATGTGCGAGAGTAAATGAGGGACGAAAGAGGACAAAAATTTGGACCAAATTTAGAATTTCCTTGCTTCTGGAACGTTGTCCCTCTACATTCATGCTTGATTAACATTTGTTGGCTATTTGAAAAAACCATTGAGACTTTTGAGAAATTGGAATCCAGCACCCCCATCCACATTGTTTTGTTAACCACGTCAGTACTCGTTAATCAGTTTTGCAGTTGATGCTTCACCCCTCGTAGTCATCCCCTGACCTTCCAAAACATTGCCTTTACGACCGACCCACTCATGGACGAGACGGGAGCTTCTCCCGACACTCAGTGCGAACGTCGCCAATGGAGGGGAATGAGACACCTCATCGACTGGGACATAACGCCATCCTTCCCCCCCACTCCCCCAACTTGGTGTAATTTGTGTGCAAGTTTCCTACACGAAACAGCAAAAGGAGTCGACCCGTCAAGCATCAGATAAATGACAAGCACAGATAGAGACCACCTACTACTCCTTCTTCCCCCCCTCACCCTTTTCAATCCTCAACCATGTACCGGAAACCCCGCTTTCCATAAAAGTGATAGTTTAGAAGTTGGCCTTCGAGAATTGATGGAAAAATTTCACCTTCTATTATATTTTTCCCAAAAAGAAAGAAAAAAGAACATGCAAGACAAAAGGAACACATGCTTTCATGCAAAGCAAAAAACCGTCTTTTGCAAGTGCTTCCCCAAGCAGGCTACAACGACGGAGGCTCCTACCTGCAGAATGGAAAGTGCAATTCGTACATCCGTCCTTCTGGCCTGGAAAAAGTAAAAAAAAAAAGAAAATGTAAAGATTTACTGGAATCGCAGTAGCATGCTTATTATTTTAAAAGTATGGTTGAGGGAAGATACATACTACTTTTGCAGAAGCGCCTTCTTAATTAAGTAGTATAGTACGAGTAGCCTAAAAACCGCTTATTTTAAGCAATTTATCAAGAGGGGGGAAGAGGAGGCAAAATCTGGTAACAGACACCGATATGAGAAAAAAGAGATTGATAAAACCTTACCCGAAAATCATCCACCCATGAGTTGAGCAAATCCGATGTCGACGCGGGCGAGATTGGAGCAGACTCCACACTTCCGTGGACACTTTTGTCGCCCTCACCAACTTCCACATTGTCTAGTGCCCGACTTTTACTGACCGAGAGATTTTGAACTGCAGAAGCTGTAATTGAGACATCCTCGTCCTCATCAAACTTTGACTTCTGTTGAACCTTTGAAAGAGGGGAAGAAACAACACATTACTCGTTCTCATTCATCCATTCATCATTCACCAAGTCCTCATCAATCCTTCAAACCATTGTGAATCCATTCATTTGTACATCCGTAAATTCACCTCAGGCGATGCTGTGGTATCTTCCTCCTCCTCCTCATCTTCCTCCGCCACCTCTCTCCAACTAGTCAATTTCGCTGTGGACGAAGGCACAGTTGCTGAGGCCTCTTCCACCCCTGTGGGCGTCGGAGAAACGGGTGCTACCGTCGTCGACACAGTCATCGTCGTAACAACTGCACTGCTCCTTATCCACGTCTCTACCACCTCTCGGAGTCTTGGATTTGCAATGAATCTCATCATCTTATCCACCAGCAACGCGTACCCTGCATGCAATCTGTCGAAACATCGTTGTGCTGTAGATCGTCGAATCTCCTCTTCATTTGCCCCAGTGGCTAGAGCAAGAGCTCTAACCAAACCCCCGTCCAAACTATCCATTCGCCTTTGGTATCGCGTGGTAGAAACCACCGAACTGTGCTCAGGAAACTGTTGTTGAAGAAGCAGATCCGCTTGTTGCTGGCGCGCTTTAGAGGTGTACTGGGCCAGGAGACCTGTGTAGTGCGCAAGGTTGGGTGAAGCTTGCATCCATGGCGTGGTGGTGACTTGCGCAAGTCGGAGACGTTTTGATGGTTCCACTTGTAGCATTCCACGAATGACTTGTTCGCAGGCAGAGGAGAGGAAGAAGGGAAACCGGACAAGACCACGAAGAACTTGGCTTCGAATGTCGCCGAGAGATTCACCAGGAAAAGGAAAGGAACCGCAAACGAGGATGTAGAGAATTACGCCGAGACTCTTAAAAAACAAAAATGGTGCAAAATTATAACACCACTGAGGCGTTTAAGCACTCCTATTTATTATCTTGGATCAGGAATTTGTTGAAATACCTGCTTTTCACGTCTCAATCCTTCTGTGTGTGACTATAAGGAGGCTACTTTCGGAGTGGTATACCTCTCTTTATCTTGAAGGAGAAATCGGGTGTTAGATTGTCAAAATGCCACAAAACTAGGATTTCTTTAGTGGATGACCGAAAACTGACGAGAATCACAATGGAAGAAGTGCTAATGCGGCAACTACTTCGGCAAAAAACGCAATCTTTGATTAAGCATAGCGACGAGTAGGAAGGCGAGACCCGGTCTATAGGGGTGGAGAGAATCGTTTGGGCGTCCAACATACTTTGAGGCGACCTCACGCATGAGTCACGCGAGTGCCCGTATAAATCGTGACAATGCAGCCAGGAGCTAAGGTTGTTAGGCGGCCAGACCATAACAAAGCTCAGCCTGTCCTACCTTGATAACGGACACAGAAGGTGAGAGAAATTTTCACGGAATGGAGCAAATAGACTAAATGGCTTTTCCACTTTCGCAGACATTTTTTAAGACTTTGAAATTCTCTTTGCCTGAAACTACATCTAAGTGCAAAGCAATTTGGAGTACCTTCAGGTGGATCTACTAAAACGACTGGTATGCACAAGAATAAAACCAAGTTGTGCAACGTTGGGCATCACTGATAAGTCAGCTTAAAACAGCAGCCAAGCTTTTAGAACACTCCGGCCACTCTTTCCCAAGAAAAGGAGTGGGACTAGGACGACATTCCAGAGAGGTGACAGAAAACTCCAACATTTGTCGCCCAGCCATCCTGCAGTTCGACGTCAAAGCCTCAGATATAATCTATTCGCTACAGAGTAGAAATCTTGTAGGCTACTGAGGGTGATTCAAGTAGTATGTTCAAACATCAAACCATGTGAAAACTCAATCACCGAAAATGACACACAATAAATACTACTAAAATGCTGTAATACTTATGTTGTTTTAATGTGCCTTTCAGGGAGGAGGCAAACAGAAAATTCGAACCTTGTAACTGGATCGCCCTCTCCCTTACCTAGTGACTGCGGCTCCCCTCCTTCTTGAATATTGTATTTTCCCTATACATCTTGTCGTCTTTAATAAATATGTCCAAAGCAAACCAATCGGGCTTGTCTAGGAACGCTAGGAATCGGGAAGCGGAGACCGAGGAGTCTTGCTCCACAATGCCATTCAGGCATCGAGTTGCATTTTAATGCCCTATTTTTTTGCAAAGATCAAAAAATAATAATGAGGTCTACTGAAACAAATTTAAGTAGCATACCCAAACGTCTACCAATGGACCGTCGTAGGATTCGCCCTTGAAGAGCTCTGGGGCGGCGTATTGTGGACTGCCACAGTGTGTTGTCAGGAGATGCTCGGGCGTAAAGAAGTTACAGAAGCCAAAGTCTAAAGTCGAAACGATTAAATACATAACAAGGCGTGGGTACCACCAGATGGGAGGAGATACCGATGAAATCAAGCTTTATAAAAGTATGTACAAAAAGGAAGGATTTAGGAAAACCATAAGTCATTCAAGAAATAAAACAGGACATGAAAATTTGAAGTATTTAAGGGAGACTTCTCATGCACTCGTGGCATCTTTGCAAAAGTCTGGCCGCCTACATCAAGAAATGCACATTTTTACCATTTCTGAACAAAGGAACAGTGGACGGTGCCTTTAGAATGATAAAAGTCAACCCTTGGCCGGGAATGGATCTAACTCGCGCAAACCACCCCCGCCTCCGGGGTTGCCCCTTCCCTACCACACTGCCTTTGTCAAGCATTCGTCGATGCCACCTGTGCATGGTTGGACTGCTGGTGCCATAGGCATTGCTGTTGACAGTGCCTTTGCAGTGCAATGCAGACCTATGTGCGCACTCACAGCACAAAGCTCTGGGTAACACAGACAGACGAAGGGAAAAAAGAACGGACGAAAGGATGAACAATGAAAAGGGAGCTACGTGGCATGTCATG